GATTGCTTAGGAGCCTACCCACCCCTGAGCAGCCACACCTCCACACACACACAGGAGGTGCAAAACTGGCAAGGCCCCTGGGCCTGATCGGATCACTGGAAGGCTGCTCAGAAACTGTGCCCTGGAACTCTCTCCTGTTCTGCACTCACTTTTCAAAGAATCACTACAAACTGCAACCGTCCCCACCCTCTGGAAAACAGCCACCATCATCCCTGTCACCAAGAAACCCCGCCACTCTGAACTGAATCACTACAGACCAGTAGCACTCACCTCCATAATTGCTAAATGTCTTGAGAAACTGGTACTGAACATCATCCTTCCGGCTGTCTGCCCACAGCTGGACCCCTAACAGTTTGCCTACAAGGCCAAAAGAGGTACAGAAGACGCTGTAGCATGCCTCCTTCACACTCTACTTCAACATCTGGACTCGCCTGGCCATTATGCCAGGATTCCCTTTGTAGACTTTAGCTCTGCCTTCAACACAATTCAACGTCACACCATGATAACTAAACTCTACCACCTCCATGTGCCAACTCTCCTCATTCGCTGGATCCATAATTTCCTCAGTGACAGACCACAGGCAGTGAGGGTGGGAAGCACCACATCCACCACCATTACTGTAAACACTGCGTCCTGAGCCCCTTTCTCTACACTTTGTACACCAATGACTACATTAGCCCTTCTCCCATTACAAAATACTTCAAATACTCACAGCCATACTCACCCTCCTCTCAGAATCAGTTGCAGCGTATCACCAATCCATTGCCCACTTCACAAAATGGTGTAAGGACAGTCACCTCCTCCTCGTCACCAAGACAAAGGAACTCATCCTGGACACACACCGTAAACTCTCCACCCCTCACTGCCCCATCTCCATAAACAGCCAGCCAGTAGAAATTGTTGACAGCTTCAGGTACCTCAGCATCACTATGGACAATAAACTGAGTTTTGATCACCACACCACAGACATCCACAAACACTGTCAACAAAGACTTTTTGTCATTTGGAAACTCAGGACTCTATCAGTCAAACCAAACCTACTGCTTTTCCTGTACCGTAGTATCATTGAACCCATCCTCTTGTACTGTGCTACCATCTACTTCACCATGCTTTCTCTCACCAATAAGAATAAGCTTCTTAAAATTACTAACACCTCCTCCAAAATAATAGGTCTTCCCACTCCCAACCTGCCAGCCCTCATTAATACTGCCACTGCTCGAAGAGCAACTACCATAGTACACAACCCCAGCCACCGTCTCCCATCTGGTCATAGATACAGACAGCTGCTCTACAAAAAGGTACGCTTCAGAAAAAGTTTTGTACCCTGCGCTATAAGAGCGTTAAACTTACAGACAAATTAATAATGTGACTTTTGTGTTATGTGTAATTATGTGTATATTGTCCATATGTGTGTGTACTTTGTGTAGTGATGCTCTTTGTACAGACTGTGAAAACAAATTTCCTCCACTGAGGACAATAAAGAATCAATTTGAATCTGAATCAGTTATTAATTACCTTAATTTTACTTAATGTTACAGATCAAACAAACAATTTTCAAGCAAATCAATAAACCCTTTTACATACTGTTGGTTACGAGTCGTTTATTTGGACGTCACCTCAGTATGTTACTTGTAATAAACATAATAAGCTAGCGGAGTCCTTAGTTACATGATGGAAGCAATATAACTTGTAAAACGTTAGACATGGCTGCTATCACGTTAATTAATTCCCCACACCACTATTTTGAGTAATGTTGCTGCTGTCGGCAGGGCTGCGTGGGATTATTGTCTGGAATAGGACACTTGAGAGAGAAAGGTACTTTTTATATTTGTCACAAGATTCTTGTTAAGGATCTGATGCCTCCACACCTGCTTTAACCGTAACGTTACTAGAACTTGGCTACTGGACATTTGACAGCTGATTGTCTGTCTACAAAGGACAACACAAAAAAAATTAAAGACTGTCTCCCTTGTTCCATTTTCTCCCACATATGTGACATAATAGTGCTGTCAACATTAAAACACTGAGGAATCTTTTAGAGGACCAAAGAGAATAAAGTGTGTGGGAGGCTGCAGTATGGGGGAGGGGGAGGTGTATGATGATCACACAGGCTACGACCTCTCTGGGAAAATACTGTCCGAATGACCACACTAAATGATAGTTATACATACAAATAGCAAATGTTACTGTGTTATGCAGTTGAATAAAGCTATTATTTTCTTTATTATTACTTACTACTTATTCAGAAGACTGATGCTACTGGTGTGACCCTGAACAAATCATAATTAGCTGGAGTGCCACAGTCAACTCCAAAGAAAACTCTCCAAAGAGGAAGTGAATCCAGATCAAGACGGTCTGGTCTGTCCTCCTGCTTGACCCTACTTCTCTCTAGTCCAGAGACATCATCTGTAAGACCTCGCACAAAACCTTCACTAACTGGGACATATATAGCACAACCTCTTTCATGGGAACAATCAGTGGTAAGCCTCGCAATGATCAAAGCTTTTCATAAATTTCCAAACACATTTGCCATCACTAGAGTGTAATATTATACATTTCTAATATCAAGGACCAGGGTGCCATGGCATCATATTTGCTTGTCCCCAACACAGCCAGTGGAGATGTGGCACAAGTGAGTTGAATGGCTTTTCTTTTGAGCCTGTACTACTGTTATTTTTTGTGTGATAATGCTTATTGTTTACTAAAGAAATAAATGTAAATGTATTTACACAGCAACTACACTGTAAATTTCACAAACAGGACGATAAAGAACATTCGGCAACGTTGGATATGAGCAGAAGCTTTGGGGAAATGCTTTTATCCGACACAAGTTTTTCGCCTTCTAGCGACACCCCAACATCAAGCTCTGGTTCAGGTTCTGGCTCTGGAAAAGAACCGGAACACGAAAGAAAGTGGATTGTGAATGAATCCAGACTATTAGAAGTGTTCAACACATGCAAGACCTGCGGCTCAGCGGTGGAAAACAAAAGGATTATAACCCATGGCAGCCAAATCCAAGTTCTTAGGACATGCTTAAATGATCACCCTGGAAGTTGGGCTTCATGTCCTGACATTAGAGGGATGGCAGAAAATAACCTGCTCATCAGCGCATCCACTTTTTTCACAGGAACCACCCATCCCACCATTTCTGACTGGTCTGAGCTTCTTCATACCCCAATTCAGAAGAAAACTCAATATTATTCAATGCAATCTGTCTACCTAATACCAGTCATCCAACAAGCGTACAGAGATCAACATGAGAAATTAATGGACCGTCTCGTGCAACTTTATGCCTCAGGACAGAATGTTCAGCTCTGTGGTGATGCTAGAAGTGACAGTCCAGGTAAGCAGTTTGCTGGAAATGTTAATCATAACTCCAGGAGTTATAATAGAAATTATTCTGATTATTCTGATTATACTGTATGACACATGGCAACCCTACAACATAGTTACCAATTCGTCTCTGCTTTTTTCTCACAACAGGTTTCAGTAGCAAATACTGTACATTTTCATTTCAAGATGATGCCACAAAAGAGATCATTCATTTTGAATTGGTTCAGGTAAATTATCTACTATGTTTTGTAACACCAAATTATGTGGTATTATTATTATTAAGTGTTTTCAAAAACAAATGTAGACATGCTTTGTCTGATCGGTCAATATTATTCTCTAGGTTACAGAAACAACCAGCTCGGTTGCTATGGAGGTGTTGGGATTTCAGAGGGGTCTGGATTATTTGCTTGACAGGGGAGTGGTTGTTGGTGTTGTGACCACTGACAGATTGCCATCCATCCGCAAACTCATGAAGGACAACTACACTAGCATCCAACATGAATTTAATCCCTGGCATGTGAGGAAAAGCAAGTAAATTTAGTGGAAAAGACACTTAATTGTTGCACAAGATAAGTGTGTTCTCTTTCATTTTATCACTAACTTTTTAGACATAATTTTTGGCTGTTTTGTACAGGTGTGAAGAAGAAACTTGTACTTGTATCCAATAAGAAGAACAACAAAGACTTGCAGCCATGGATAAAGTCAATGACTATCCATCTGTACTGGTCATGCAGCACAAGCAAAGGTGACAAAGAGGTAAGAATATTAAGTAGTACATAACATAGATACAGTATTTTTGGTATAGAATATTTACTGTTATATCAGCAATAACAAAACATGTTCCTGTCGGTGTAGTGAATAGTAGTAGTAAATATTTTTAATAGTATTTACCTGGCACATAGTGTAATATTTGCACCAGGAAAGTATTTCACCAACTATCACTTCAATCTAATTTTTTTTTAGGAATGTGTTCGAACATGGAAGTCGCTTCTGCACCACATGTGTGGCATTCACAGGTGGGAGGTGGATGGTGCTCAGTACACCTGCCATCACACAACCCTGACAGAGGATGACCAGAGGCGCAAAAGGTGGCTGAGACCAGATTCATCAGCTATTGTGGCATTGAAGGGAGTGGTGTTGGACAAAAATCTCCTTAGAGACTTGAGGCAGATGTCACTCTTCAAGCATACTGGTATCTATTTACATTGATTCAAATATTTTTCCAGTCATGATGATTATTGTTGCAACATCTATAAATTTTTTGAGAGAAGCAGTTTTGTCTCATTACTGCCTACAACGCAATAACACCAGTTACACTGGGTCATTGAGTGTGTGACATTACATTTATACAGGATCTTTGGAGGTGTACCATCAGGTCATGCTGAAGTATGCTGAGAAGCGACTTCACTTCAGTTACGACAGCATGAGGGCTCGTACCCCACTCGCAATAGTGGACCATAATAGCAATGTTGGGAGACCACAGGCGAAGACAAAAGAAGGTATCATATAATATATGCTCCTTTACATCAATGTTTTACATGACGTCACATTCATTGTATACTACCTAGTCTCTTCAGGTTTTCCATGGAGATGCTGTATTTAATATGTAATTTCATGTATTTTAGGACAACCACGGTACAAAGCTGTACACTCAAGACAGAGTCAGCAATGGGTTGCAAAACCCATGTTTGACAACACCACACAGGCCTTTCGTCATGATCTTGTTGAGCGTGTGCTGAGAAGGAGAGAGGACAGCACTGTCATCTTCTCCTACACTTTACCCCCTCGTAAACCAGGACCAAGGAAATTGCTCCAGAACATTGCTCCAATTCCAAGGCCGGACAAGGGTGATCTGGTCGCTCATACCAAAACTTCGCTTGTTATGGACTGTGCTTTCTTATGTTCAGAGTGATTTATGTATGGGTTTACTGCCTCCTACTGGCCATTTCAATGTCTAAGTGTTGTATTCTGAAGTAGGAAGTAGCTGCTTTAGTGATACAGGAAGTAGTTGTGCTGGGTGACCCCGGAAGTTGTTTTCAGCATGCACAAGGGATTCAGTTCAGATATGTAGGTGCTGCGGTAACGTCTCTCGCATCCTCCTTCATAAGTCTTGCTAAACGCAATGTCTGTAAGTAATGATGTTTGTATACATTAACACCGCATGTCTGTTGTTATATTTGTCATGTAGACATTTCTGAAGCTAGTTTATGGCTGTTTATGCTGGTGCTGTACTATACACAGCTATCACTCAACTGATTTAGCTATTTAGCTACTTAGCTATATACGGTAGCTTTCATTGACTGTACTGTAACGCTGTTATTGATATGTATTGTTGTATCTGTTTCAGTTTCACAAACTTTATTGATAAACTCCACAAACGGCACAGTGTCTCCTGTGGCTTTATTGATGACTGTTTAGATGGCTGGATAGCTACGGAGTTAGTGAGACCAGTGACATCGCTTTTGAGCTTGACAACACCACTATTATCTGACCATGTTGACATTTTTTATATAAAGCTTACACTGTTCTGTAATTTATTGTTGTAAAATAAAGTTTTGTTTGTAACTGTAATACTGTGTTCTTATAGTTCGAGTAAAAACACAGGAGCACAAGAATAACAAGATTTTGATTTACTATCTTTATTATAATGAATGACATGATGCAATCTTTTTGAACATGCACAATGTACAATTCAGACCAAACATTTAGAATATCTCCTCTGCCTCCTGAAATCCAATGTTAAGTACCAGTGGGGGAGGGATAAATTCTTCTGATCACTGATACAACACAGCTAGGTAATGGTCTTCTACTGCTACGCCCAAGGCGCGCTCCTTTTAGTGCCCATTCTAATACAACACAGTAGGCCACCAGTGTGGAATGGCTATAGGGAATGGGGGTGGGGGCAGAGAGAGCAGATGTTTGGTGAGTTCACTAGAGAAGTGGCTAATGTATTTACAGCAAAAAAAATTTATACTAATAAAATGGAAAGGAAAAGGTATATGTCATGTAATCCATCAGATATTCAACTCACTCTATGGATAGCTGCCCATGTAGTCTCTCCAGTTTTGGACGTCTCTTCCAGTTTATTTTAGGAATGAAGAAGAAAGTGTCCAGGACTGCCTTTTGGATAAGAGCAGGCAATTCCTCGGTACAGGTGACACATTTTTCGTTACCTGGCTGTATGAGATCCCACTCTTTACAGCACAGGCTTTCTTCCTTGGTAGGCATTGGGTCACAACACCCACACAAACACCACCAGTTGTCCGAAATCCGTGTCCTTGAAGCATATGCTTCATCTGCCAGTTGCCCCTCTGTCTGTCTCCTTCTTTCCAACTCTTGTGAGGCTAGTTCTTCGTCTGTATATTCGGGTTCGAATGAATAAGGACGACCATCAAACTCAAAAGCCTCTTCCATGTGTTCAAAATCTTCAATATTTTCCATAGTTACGTTACTCCAAGCTTCTTCACTTGTGAGCAACTCCGATCATCACTCTTCACGCACTACGCTCCCCCCACCTGCACACTGCTCTTTACCTTTTTCCGGCAACAACTGAGTTCCCACAGGATTTCAGCACGAGACTACAGCTAGCCGTCTAAAACACTATTTAGGTGAATTTAAACAATGGCTAAGTTGCTAAACGCATCTTGTTGTCATGTAAGGGCCCTGTTCATGTTGGACAGACATTTTCATTGCATTTTGTGTCTGTTAAGAGGCACAAAGACACTCTTTAGGTATAACGATCAAGATTAACTAAAAAATTGTACGGAGTTCTCCTTTAATCTAATAACATTACATTTTGGCTTCTCTCTACTTGCTGACTTGTTTTTGACTCATTAAAAGCTGCGGTTAGAACACACTAACTTATTTACTTACACTAACTTAGCAGCTTGGGGCTGCTCGTATCTGGCTAATTAGCGTAACATTAACAAGCTAACGTTAAGCTAACAAGCTATATGCCGACAGCGACAGCTGTTAAATGTTAACACATAAATAAAATACAGGAATTTCACTCACCAAGTAGAACACGGATTTCCTGGAGGTTCTCTCTCCAACAAATTGCACAGCCTGCCATTATTCATCCAGTATCTGCATGTAGAAATGTCCAAAAGGCTCGGACAGACTGAGCCTCAGAGCTTCGTGTGGCTGAGTGAGGCTAACAGACGGCGGACCGAGTGCTAGGAGTGGCAGTGGCTAAAGTTGCCTGTCAATCAAAGCGGCCACGCCCCTAATAACGCAGAACTTTAAGGCTTAATATAATTTAAACAGGTGAGTTATAAAAAAATTCACCCCCCTCACAGTTGTCACGAAGGGCAAAATTAGCGATATGCACTAAAACCATTTTTTTAACCAGGCTGTAAACATGTTTTATTCTGCTGTAAAGTTGGGCTTTTTAACATGGGGGTCAATGGAGATTGACTCACTTCTGCAGCCAGCCTCAAGTGGCCACTCGATGAATTGCAGTTTCAGATACTTCCGTATTGGTATCGGAACTGAGAGCCGGAGGTTGCCGCTTGGTAGAGACGCAGCTGAGCGGGAGCCATTAGACTGAGTATGGGACAATAACAAACAGGGACAGACGAGAAGACTCGAAACACAGGGAAGTGAAAAACAAAATGAGACTTGTTGTGTTTTTCAGAGCACACAAACACTGTAAACACACACCTGTCACCTACCCAGCATGGTGCTGTTAATCACAAACACAGCTTCTACAGCTTATTTTTACAGTTTATGCACACAGCCCACAGCGGGGTTAGCCGCATTTTTAAAAACCTGCATGTACTAACGTTACTCATGCATGTCAGCAACATTTAGCCTATTAAAGCTAAATTGCTAATGTTAGCATATCTTACCTGCTGTACTGTCCGCTGCTTTCTCGTCAGACAGATAGCGCTCCTTTCACTGTTGACTTTGTGTGTGAGGCCACATGGACAGAAATGCTGTACGCTTTTAGTTATGGTATTAAAAATTATAGTCCTCACTTCAGGCCTGCTCACTTGCTCTGCTTGGTTTCATAGCAGTGTGCTGGCAGTCAGAGCCCCCCCAGCAGTCCATAAAGTGCCTCTTCGCCTCAGCCGTTTCAAACCCTCCCTCCAGCCTTCAGGCCACACCTCTTCATTGCATACATGACTCAGTCCTAAATGCCTAAATGCCCAAATGCCCAATCATAAATGGCCAATCCTAAATGGACAAATGACTAAATGGACAAATGGCTAAATGGCCAATCCTAAATACCTGTGTGTGTGTGTGTGTGTGTGTGTGTATGTGTATGGGGTGTCTGTGCGTGTTTGTCTGCATGCGCGTTGTATTCTTGTATGTGGTGTGTGCGTGTTCTATGCTCCTGTGTGTGCATGTGTGTGCTAGGTCCGGGCATGAAATACAATTCATCTGCACTTGTTAACATTGTATGATGAAAAATGCCAGTTTATGGGGTATTACCTAATTTCATTGTCCTACTTGCGCTAATGCAAATGTATGTTGTCCAATTGGAGTAATATTTTTCTGAACCAGTGCTGCTTAAACTATGTTTGAACTATGCTGTGTTGTTGGCGCGTTGAATGAAGACGTGCAATGTATGGATTGGACTAGCAGAGTTGATTACTGCCTCACGTTGGTCAACTGGATGACAGCAGCCATTTTAAACCCCAGCTGACAGAAACTTTTCTCACCATTCCATACATGTGCCAGTGCTACCTGTGTAATAATAAGAATAAAAATAATAAAAAAAATATAAAAAATCTTTATTTTCAAAACAGCTTTGTCCCTTTTAGTTTTCAGTTGAGACTCTGGAACAGACAACGGACCTCTGCCTGAGGATCTCAAGGCTGCGCTGGCGTGCATGGGACTAAAAGGTCAGAGATATAACAGGGAGAAGCCATGAAGTAATTTTAAAATCTATACTAAAATATACTGGGAGCCAGTGTAATGTTAAAACGGGGTGGTATCATCAAATTTTTCTGGACAGTCTCGAGTCGATCAATAGATAGATCAAACAAGGAAAAATGCTATTGCAGTAATCCAGGTGTGATGATGAGTAAACCCGTGTAAGATGGTCTCAGTGTCACAAGAAAAATAAAAATGAGTCCTAAGACTGACCTCTGAGGCACTTCATATTTAACCGAACAGATTGAAGAGACATAGTTATTCACACACACAGAACCTCAAATGACGGGTTGATGATAACCATTCTAAAGCAGTACCAGATATCCCCACCCAGTGCCTCAGTCTGTCTAACATAATGTTGGGATAAATGGTGTCAAATGCAGCGCTAAGGTCCAGGAGTACTGGTACTGGAAGCCATCATCAGCAGACATTAAAAGGTTATTGGCGACTATAAGCAGGTCAGTCTCAGTGCTGTGGTACTTCCATAGACTGTATATAAGAAGTGGACGTAATCATCATGATGTCACCTGTTGGTTTGTGGACTGCAGTTGAAGCCTCGAGTTCGGCAACCAGGAAGTGCCTTATTTGGACAAGATGGCGGCACTAACGGCCATGTGCGGAGCTAGCTAGCTTGCTTAATTAGGTTCATCTGTAATTCATTTTAACAGGGCTGATAACTTTGTGTAGTAACAGTCTTAAAACTAAATGTACTCACCAGAGAAAGTGAACAGCTCCTTATAAGCTGGTTAAATTTACACAGTGCCGTGGGTACGACTCAGCTCTAGCCTGATTGACAGATCATGCCATGGTAATGACTTGTCAATCATAGATAATCCTGCCCTGAAACATACTTTATGGTCTTTACTTTAATGCTTTATGGTCTATTTTAAAATAAATGGGACCATTATTTACTTACATTATTTATGGACATCATTTTGTATTGAAGAAAACATGAAACTAGTGATTGAGATCATAAACTCATCAGGAAAGTGTTTACTGAGGTAATTATTCAGCTGGGAAGTACGGTCATTTTGCCATTATTTCTAATGGAGCAGAACTTCTTTTTGCAACCAGAAGAGTCACCCCCTGCTGGCCGTTCGCATCAGATTGCTGACCGGAAGCTTCCCGCTTGGGTACCAGACTGAAACTTTTCAAACATTTTGTTATTTTCCAGCGTGCAGAGCAGTTGTTTCAACACATTTTTTTCTAACATCTTTTTCTAACATCTTTGATATGGAAGATAATTTGGAAATTGGATTCAAATTTTGGAGGCAGTAATCCAGACCAGGCTTTTTAATAGTGGGTTCACACAAGCTGTTTTAAAATAGTCAGGGACACAAATGGTAGATAGGGATTTGTTAAAAACAGAAAGCAAATAGGGCCCAACAAAGTCCATCACTTTCAATAAAAACTTTGTTGGTATTACATCAAGTGGGCTGGAAGACACTCCCATCTGTGATACTGTTTTTAAAAACTCAGACAAGTCAATGGGATAAAATTGGTTAAAAATATGTTGTTGCTGGTGAGGGACCTCTGAGTAAGAGGCAGAGAGGGTAATAGAGGCTCTATTCGACACCATAGTATCAGTAAAATAAGATGAAAACAATTCATAATCATCAACACTTTCAGCTGAGGCACAGAGGGGCTGAATTTACCGGCAATGTGTTCAGAAAAATAGTGTGTTCTCGCAT